GTTACTGCTGCTATGACCTTCACACAAGCGCCACCAGTTCAGCTATCCTAGGCCTATTTTCGCTCAATCACCTCGTCACCTCTCACGCGCGCTTTTTACACCACACACACACATACGCACACACATCCAAACAACCACAAGTAGGTCGTCAAAGCTTAAACTGTGATTGTGTGCCTGACAGTTACTAGTTCACCCTTTTTCACTGAGATTGCCCCTGCTAACTTTGATGTCCCCATGTTCTGTTTATTGTGATTTCGTACGCTGCCGTGCGATTTTGCCGTACAAAGCAAGTGGCGCCGATTGCCCATGCTTCTGTTCTGACCAATCGCTATGAGTGCGCCCTCTAGTCTTTATTACTATCTCTATGGTGGTGCTTCCCTTGTTTTGAATGCGCTTGCTGACGCCTGTCGGTACGTCCTTGCGTGTTTTACTAAACGCCCCACCTCCACGAGAACATGCAATGCTATTTCAGGTCAGAGAGAGCTCGTAGTCCACACTCAACCCCTTACACAACCGAGATGGGTGGCATCCTCTTGCCTGAGTGAGTGCTGGAGTCGTCACCGGCAGGTATTTGGCGGTTAACCTCGATTGTGAAAGGGTTTTACACGTTATTGGTGTTTTTTTCTACCTGCTCTGTCTCATAAACCGTATGTTTTACTGAGATTGGACTCGGCTGTGATTTTGACTCCGTATGCCAGTAATAAAGTAGTTGGGAATTGGATACTGGCCTCTCTCAACTCCTTAGACCATGCAGGTTAACTTTGTCTGGCTTTCCCCCCAGTGCCCATGTTCATACCCCATAATTCATGACCTGAGGAATACTCGTCAGCTCCTATAGAAAGGGTGAGTGGCAGAATAGAAGCACACAAACCATTACAAAGCCTTTCTGTTCGCTTATGTACCCCTGAAAAAGTACACTTGATTCTCTATTTTGAAATAATCCACTAATCCACTAATCCCACCTTGGCCAGTTCGTGTAAGATGATATGAGGATTAGCAATATCAAATGCAGTGAGACTGGTGACCCGAGAGTCATGAGGAAGGATGCAATGCAATCTTGGACTCTACCCTGGCAAAAATCCATGAAGATTACTCGATAGTAGGTACTTAATTCTATAAATATGTCTATTTAACATCATCCTTTCAAAAGTTTTGCATAAACAGCTGGTAAGGGAAATCTGTACTTAAATGAGCAAAGGGTGGAATTAATACTTAAACTACCAAGGAACTATAAATTTGTTGGCACAATTTTGATATATAAATAAGCTCTTTGGTGAGGACACTCCAGTTCCACGATGATTCAACTAACAATATGAGTTTGTGTATTGGTCTTTCAAGATTAACAAGTGCTTTCGTTCGTCTTCCATATGCGTAAGTAAAGAATCAGCCGAAACAGTGATGTTATGACTATGATTCATTGCCATTACTGCACTGTGAGATGAAATTGGATGGCAAGCTTTCTTTGCCTCCAAAAAATATAAATGAAGGGTAACCTGCATCATCTGCAAGCCATCTGTAAACTAGAGAATCCCATCTGTTTTTAGGAGCTGGAGATAACTTACATTTTTGTAACATTTTGCTATTTTCTTGAGAATCATTTAAAATATTAGGGTAGTCTGTTGTTTTCGTTATAGTTAAGCAAGAGAGAAGAGAGAGAGAGAGAGAGAGAGAGAGAGAGAGAGAGAGAGAGAGAGAGAGAGAGAGAGAGAGAGAGAGAGAGAGAGAGAGTGAGTGAGTAAAAGGCACAGAACCTCAGTTCTAGCAGGGGTAATCATAGTTGCATGACGGCTTGACTCTTTATCAAGGTAGAGTACTACACAGTGAAGGGAACTCAAGAGTTGTTTTAAGGTAAGAGCTGATGGCGGTGTTGTAGTGATCAGCAACGTTTGATTATAGTGTCAGACTTTGGCACTGACACTATTCACTGGTTAATTACCTTTACTGAGATATGCCGACGGAGCGGGCCGAGTGGTAAGCATTCTCCGAGGGCACAGTGGGTTTGGGATAAATATCATTCATGAAATTTACGTACATCAATATATATCGAACCCTTTTGGTTCCCTAATGTTACGTTGTGTACACAAGGGGGTCAACTGTACTGCGAAATTTAACACTCCCCGCGTGGAAAATCAAAGAGGAGCCTGGCCACAACTCCTCGCTAAAAAGAACATTGCTACAAAGAGAAACAAACAAACACATAAAACTAATATCTAATAAACGAGCTTGGATATATATACAGAGCTTGGGTATATAAGTGGGTGTCCACTTATTACATAAGTGATAAAAATATAACAAAGCCAGCATATACTGATGGTGCACACATAACTTATCTTAACTTACCCTATAAACAGGGTGCCTCGAATCCTCGAATTTTAAAATCAAAGAACGAGGCTCGACTACGGCCTCTCTCTATGCCTGCAGCAAGGGTTATCCTAAGCAAGCAGTCTTCCGTAAAGGATCTCTGGCTTACTGCTAGAATAACCCCTGGTTTTAGTCAATTAGCCTGTGGATTGGAAGAGAGAGAGTACCTGTAGCCTGGTCTACAGTAATGTCTGGGAGCGACCTGAGGAGTGGGTCATCCTCGGACACAAACATTGAGCATCCACCGGAAACGTGGCGTGGGACATCAGATGCTGGAAATGGGGGAGAGCAAGGCGAGGTCACTGTTTTCGCTGTCCATGATTGCTTAATGAAATGCCATATTGCTCGGCTACCTACTCACGCCTCGCCCTCAAGACACCATAGATTCGCCTCAGAGGGTTACCCAACTTTGCCTGGCCCTGGTCCTTGTCGTCCTCTTCTTCTTCCTGGTCCTTGGTGAATCCATCTGTCCTCGACGTCCACACGTCCTCGAAGGTCTCGCACAAGTCCTCCTTGACTTCCTCGTAGTCCTCGTCCAGGTCTAACTCGGCGGCGTCCTCGTCCACACGTCCTCGAAGATCTCGTCCAGGACTAACACGCTCCTAAAGTTTGACTGGATCTGCGGGAGTCGGCGCCCTTCCACGACGTCCTGGGCGGCTTAATAGCTGCACTGACGAACATCCTGGTCCGCAGGCGATCTTCCGATGAAACCCTCCACAGCAACCTGAGGTGACCGTTTCTGCAGCAGGTCCTCCTTCTGTGCCGTGTCAGACATCGCCGGTCCAACTGCTATATATAGTCGGGGAACCAGATCACACACGCAAGGGCCAAGATAGCAAGAGAAAAAGAAAGGCAACAGAGAAGAGAGGATGTTAAGTGCTACTAGCAAATTTAAATTTACAGTTTTTAATGTTTGATTTTACTTTATTTTCGCCTTTTTTCGTTTTGTGTTTTACTTTCACAAACTAAAGAAGAAAAACAGGAGAGGGAGACGTCAGTAGCGATCCGCATGGGCCTGGCTTGAACTACCAGCCGCCTTTGATAGATATGTGAGTAGATAAGGAAAACAACGGCTATCCGCAAGGATTTACTTGAACCAGTTGTCGCCACACAGAGAGAGGATGCACATAAGAAATTGTACGTCACGACTGATAAAATCGCGGGCAAAAGAGATACATCATAGCTCTTTACGCCTACAACTACGACAGCAACAAACCATAATATAGAAAAGTTTCAGCCATGTCTAGCTATGCATGTCAGACTTCATCGGCGGGGGGTCGCTATACCCAAAATGCTCTACGAAATGAATTAACGAGACTCACAACACATGCAAGGGGACACACGCTACTAGCGTCTTCGGGTAAGCGCTGAGCGCGGGGTCGCGTGTCCGGTCAGCCAGCCGGTGAGGCGGCCAGAGGCGGTGGCGACCTGGTCACGCCGAGCGCTGGGCACAAACTAAGACTGGTTCATGCTAAGACGCTTCTCCCCCAGCTCGCTTAGGGCGTGGCGGCACAGCTGTTTTTCCGTCGGGATAAACAGACAGATAAGCAGACAGACTGGTAGATAGATAGATAAACAGACAGACAGATAAATAAATAGATAGATAGACAGACAGAGAGAGAACGGGAGAAACATATAGAAAAACAGACAGATAAACAGATACATAGATAAATATATACAGATCAAGAGAGAAAGAGAGATGTATCTAAATATATAGAGATAGAGATAGACAGATAGATAAATAGAGAGAGGGGGGAGAAACTTATAGACAGACAGATAGATAGACAGTTGGATATATAAACAGATAGATAGACATGAATACATATAGATAGATAGGTAGAGACGTTTATAGACAGATAGATAGATAAATAAAATAAATATTTAGTGAGATAGAGTAAGAGAGAGAGAGAGAGAGAGAGAGAGAGAGAGAGAGACCAAGAAAGAGGGAAGAGAAGAGGAGAGGGTCGGAGTCAGAAATTGGTAACAGGGAGCTGGGGCCTTAGCAGTTTAGGGCAAAGCTGTGCTGCAATGACCTCTCCTTGCATATTAAAGAGCTGTGATTAATGTTTCTTGCTACGAAATGTACCCAAACTGCAAGCATGTAATCCACATGTCATGTTTGAGCAATAATATCATTGCCCATTTTTTTAGTAGTTGTCTGTATACGGTTGATAAATAAAGCATTATTACTGATTATTATTTTTTCGACCTTAAGTATTACATTACAAAGGATTTTTTATACAAAAAATATACATAGCGACTATGCACTGATATGAACAATAGTATATTATTATATACACAGTGTATGTCTATATTTTTAAGACTCTAAATCAATTCTACTTAAACTCATTACCATCCTGCTCAGGATATAGTTATAGAATATGTACAAACTAGATTATCTTTACCTAAAGTCCATAAATATCAGGCAGTAATATCCTGTTATATAGATCAATCTATTTCTATTTCTACATTTCTTAAAGATACATATAACTTATAGAATATATTTAAGCTAGACTATCTTTACCTAACAGAAACTCTATAAACAACATGAAATCAAGAAAATTCCTACTATTAGAAAAATCAAAACTCCATAAATATCAGGCAGTAATATCCTATTATATAGATCAATCTATTTCTATATTTCTTATTTTTATTTCAAAACACAAATACTTTCTGTTCCTGTATGTATGCAGTGCATACATACAGGAAAAGGTGCATCTGCCATACGATAGGCCTGGCATCATTCCTACACTTCTCCGCTTGTTCCCATCCCCCACTTCTTTCCCCTTCTTTCCCCCCCCCCCCTCATCTCCTCCCTTCCTCTTAGCGCATCTACTCTCTCGCCCCGCCGAGCTCTGCCCCCTCCCCTATGCGTATGTTACCGCCCACGCCACAAGGAGGCTGCACCGTGTGGGCACAAAGCAGCCAAGGTACTCTGACCAAGTTATATCCACACCTCCCTTTAAGAGAAAGAAATTGTGGGTCTGTGGATGTTGCTTGAGAATTTCTACCTGAAAGGAGGCCCACTTCCTGCATATCATAGTTAACAGTTTGGTTATCCAAAAGAAAAGACGAGAAAAAACACATTTGGGGTTGTCTGCAAGGGAGATGAGAAGTGACTCATTTACCTGTAAAAATCGGTCACATTTTCTGTTCAAACGATAATGATTATAGTATCAACAGCAACAACAATAATAATATTGACAATGATAATAATAATAATCATAATAACAACAACAATAATGATAGTAATGATAATGATAATGATAATAATCAATAATAATAATAACAGTAATAATAATAATATCAATAAAAGGCAGACAGTTCTGAGATGGACATGTAAGGTACCACAAAATGCTGGCCTTTTGTGATAAAACGCAGGGTCTGAAAGCGAGTGAATAATCTCCCAGAGGAAATCACTCTAAATCTAGAACGAACTGTGTGAATGGACAAGCTCCCTTCCCTGCCTCACCTCCCTCTCTCTGTTTCATTTACTTGGCTCGAGAATAAATGACTGTCAGCTGTTCCATGTCTTGAAGAAGGGGAGTGATGGCTTCCTTTGACACTGGCTTGCCCTGGCCCTTGTGTTTCCTGTAGGTGCCAGACTGGAACTCGCTGATGGCATTCTTGAGGCCTCCTTCACGACAGTTGTATGCAACTTGGTGGAATCCGTGAGGGAACAGAGTTGATTTGTGCCGCTCCACGATGGCGTGCTGATTGTACCTCTTGTTTGGCTGGAGGAAAAAGGGGCAGGAAGGGCACTGACAGGCGTTGCTCAGCAGCCCTAGATGTGGGCGGTATTTCCGGTACACTTGATCAAAAGTCGCAGCCGTGACCTCGATTCCACGGGCAGCAGCCTCCGCTAGAATCTGTTCCTTGCTCATGGGTCTTACCACGTCAGAGTGGGCTTGGTAGTATTCAGTCAGCCAGGCACTTTGGTAGGAGATGACCATGTTATTTAGAAGCGTGTTTACCAGATTGTTTACGTTTTCCATTTCGACTTGCCTCATCACATAACTAAAGGCATCGTCATAGCTGTCGATCTTAGCTGACAGACGTTCCTTCGAAGAACTGTACCGCAGTGCATGCTGAGTGTAAACGAATGCACTCTTCTCAGCAAACAGGTCTTCAACGACATCCGAGGGCAGGGCCATCTCCCTGGCATAAGTCCTGAGGGTGCGCCATGAGACAGCTCCGGCAAGGGACACATTAAATAGTCTTTCCACCTTATCCATGCACACCCGCACCGGCAGTGCAAGGTTCTCTCTGACCGCTCTCATCTGCACTGTGCTCTTCTTTTTGGCCACTTTCTGGACTTCCTCGAGTGTGTAGAACTTTGAGAGAGGAAAGGCTGCTGAGCTCTCCCCTTTATCGATTGTCGACTTCACCTTCTCAGCATACCTTTCTAAAAACTCCTTTTTCTTATCTTCATCATTGAGCACTGCCACGAAGAAGTCTGTATAAGGTGTGCTGTTTTTCTTTGAGTTCTTGATGTGACTCAAGTTGCGCCCGACAAATTCAACCAAGATCATCCGGACAATCTTCGCAACTTCTGCCATCTCTAATTCCTTGTTTTGCTTTAGGAAATAAAGCATAAACATTGGCTTGATGAGAGACTCGCACTTGACTGGACGGTTGTTTATCTTCACAGAGCTTTCCGTCATCAGTGCCTGTGGCGTGTCCTCTGTCAGGAGCTTGCAGTACTCGACGTTGCCTTTCCTCTTCATGTACAGTGAAGCCGTGGCGAATATGCTCTCCTCTCGGAGGCGAACATACTCTGGCCGTGGGACTTCTGGGTGCTCGTACAGTATTCTCACCCAGCAGGTAGCCAGAGCTGCTATATGTATATTGAACTCTATAATGTGAGGGTTCTTGAGAATGGCGAAGGTAACACACATGGCATAAAGACGTGTTTGAACGAGAGGTTCCATTACCTTTGCAACTTCTGGGCTAAAGACTGGGATGACAGCATTGAAATGAGTATTATCATCATCCTCTTTCAGCTTGATGTCCTTATGACGTGCGCCGGGTTCTTTATTTGAAGCATAGGACTCAATGGCCACTTGACTCAGGGTGGTGTACGGGGATTTAAGTATCCTCGAGATATTGTAGGACCAGGGATTTAAGCTTACTGAGTCTCTGGTTGGCGAAAATACTGGGATGCCACTCATGGTAAATTGCTTGAGGAACTCATACTTATTTAGACTCAGCATCTGGAGGAAGTCTTCGTCTTGGAGGTCCGAGATGGTTGAACTCATGGTTATGCGGCAGCACTCCTCCGGCGTTACAGTCACGGCCATCAGCTCTGGCTTTTTCGTCCTATACACATTCTTGAATTCTTGACAGTCCTTTCCATAATCAAGCTCTGAGTGGCCTTTCAGTTGCAGGGACTTGACTTCGTATTTGCCAGCAGTCACAGTGGTGCTGAGGATGTTGTGTGCTAATCTTAGGGCATCACTGTGTTTCTCAGTGGTCAGGATTTCCTTGATTTTATTCATGTTTGTTCTGAATTCCACCTCAACTGTCTTGGCATTTACTCGTGAAAGCCTTGCTGCTACAGAGTGCCCTTCAATTCCCATCTGCAGATTGGTATTAAAGAGACGCTCCATGAAGGGAAGCAGGTCCGAAGGAATCTGTTTCCCTATGTTGTGGAACTGGACGGCCACGCTGTTCCACTGGCGCATAACCTTGCCCAAGATGTCGGTGGTGATCTTGGTGCGCTCCGGAGCCAGCTGACACACATAATTATTAAGAGAGACCTTGAGACTTCCATGCTTTTCAGGATCCTCTGGAAAGTAGACCCACTCTAAAATATGGAAATCTTGTGTGGATCTAGCGCCGGGCAGTTTCCATCCCGGGACAGAAAGCATTAAACTTCTTTCATTCATGCTAGCAAGGCTCTTGCTGATGTCCTTCATTTGATTCTCTATGCCTGTATGATCCTCGGCCCAGAAGAGTGTCGGCAGATTGGCGCTGCCATTGTGGAGACGGGACCGGATGTTGACGCTGTATTGGACGGGGAAACCGTTGCCAGCCCCCAGCAAATAGACGTCGCAAATTTTACCTTTCGGCTCCCTCATCAGCGATATGACGCTCTCTGGAGATTCATAAGACATGTTGTGGTCTCCGTCAGTAATGATGAACACCTTGACATATTTCTCTTTGCAGGTGTATACTTTGTCGACGATTGTCTGCAGGGCACCTGTCAAATCTGTCTGACCGCTGGTGAAGTCTGACTGCTTCAGCTCAGTGCCAGTCCTCCGCAGTTCGACGGAACTGCCGAAGACATAGAGGTCTGTGCGCCCCCTCAGCTTCGGCGCGATGAAGGTGTTCCAGCCCGAGATGACGCCTGGCCAGTACGACTTCATTGATCCAGACACGTCGGCCATCAGGAGGTTGTAGCTGTTGGCCGCCGAAGGGCCCAGCTCTACGGAGTCGCCCAGAAGCTCGGGGGGGACGAAGGACGGCATCTGCAGCACGAAGCGGGTCGCGATCTCGCCATTTTCCATCTGCAATGCATCGAAGTATCAGTTTGGGCGAGGTTAGGTTCTAATGCTAATACTGTCAGTGAGGATAATAATGAAAAAAGAATGATGGCAAGAACAAAAGTAGTAATAATAATGTGTATATCAACGCACATCACAAACCGTATTTGCAATTATGTGTGATAAATCTTTGCATTCTGCACCGAGAGATCAAATCAAACTACAAGATGTATTAAGACTACCAAGTCTGTTTACGCAATTCCATGCTCTTCAGATGTAACCCTAATATAGTGTAGAATGTGACGAATGTTTGAGTGCACCATATAAAAGTCTGCAAAACCTCAAATCACGACTGGTGCTTGCAAACAGTGAGCACTAATTTATTCTATTCTTTTCACCCTAACTGCCAGTACAGTGAGCACCGTGCCCGGCATTAGCTTTTAGGGCTCCTGCCGAGGGCCTCTCCCACACCGAGGCTTCAGGGAGTAATGGAAAGGTTACCTCGTTTGGGATGTTTTCTTAAGCTACGGAAATGAAATGTTTGATTTTTTGACTTGTAACTGCTGTTAATTTGTCTTTTTCTCTTTCATTTTAAACTTTCCCTGGGGGTTCCCAGGACGGGGAGCTTAGGAACCTCGAAACCTCCTCGGGACTCCCGAGCTCTCCCTGCGGCGAAGGACCTCCCATCGGAAGCCCTTCGGCCGAGGGAATGCGGCCCCTTGCAAGGGCGGCGCCACGACAGCGATAATACATAATCATCCATAATATTATCGTAATAACTTTCCTCTTATCCTTATCTTGAGGCATCCAAGGACACAGCCCCGAGCGCGACCCACCTTCTCCTTGGCCTCGAAGAGCCTGGCGTCGCTGCGCACGCATCCGACGTCCACGATGCCGTCGGCGTCCACGACCTCCTCCTCCTGCGGCTCCGGCAAGACCGGAGCCGCAGGAGATTCTCCTCGTCTCACTTTCTCCATCAACAGCTCCTCGAAAGAGTCGTCATCCGAGTCGGAACACGGCGGGGGGGAGTAGTTGCGGCCCTCTGCATGGAAGAACATCCGCCTAACCACCCTCCTCAGGAGGACCGGGTCGGAGGGCGTGGCCCCCGGGTCGGGGGGGCTGGGTTCAGGGAAGAGGGAAGGTTGGAGACCAGCCTGGGGGGGGGGGGGTGACCATAACGATGGTGATGATATTGATGTTAATGATAATAATATATATTAATAATATATGTTAACACTAATAGAGGGTTATTTTTTTCGAAAATTAAATTTCATATATATATTTCTCAATGTATATCAAATTGCCCTTTTTATATATAAAATGCTATATATCTGTGTAATGTTCAGGCAATAAATGGCACACGTTGCGATGTTATGGCACAGCTTGCTTGATATGAAACTGGCTTGGCTCCACTGTCATGTGGATTAAATACATCAATAATGGTGATATATTTACCTTCAAGAAATATTACAATACTAAGGTATTCAGTACATATGTTGTCACGATTGGCATCAGTCATGTAAATGCTAAATTCTCTTGTAGAAACATTAGAATTTTTTTTATCTGTTCTAATATGGGGATCCCTTCATTTTTGCGATCACTAGTTCTGACTTCCTGAAGGCAACGCATCAACATCTTCGGGGGGCACGTCACGGCGCCACAAGTCACCGTACACGTCCATACACTGTGGTGCCGTGACGTTGACTGGGGACGAGAGAAAGAGAGAAGGAAAGAAAGAAAGGAAGAGAAAGAGAGAAGAAAAGAAAAATAAAGAAAGAGAGAGACAGAGAGAAGAAGAGAAAAAGAAAGAAAGTGAGAGAAAGAGAGAAGAAAATAAAAAGAAAGAAAGAGAGAAGAAAAGAAAATGAAAGAAAGAGAGAAGAAAAGAAAAAGAAAGAAAAAAAGAGAAAGAAGGAAAGAAAAACAGAAGGAAACTCTATTTTGCTTATAATATGCTTCAAACGAGATAAGCAGATAGATTGATAAATATTAGTCACATAAAATAAAAGGTTCTGTATTGCAAACATAAAAAAAACAAAAAAAAACAGAAATACAGAAAGGAAGCAAGGAAGAAAGGAAGAGAGGTTTTCTGTAGCAAAAAGAAGATTTAAAAGGCACGCTATTCATTTACGTTAACGAAATGGATTTTAAATAGCATAGGCCAAACATTTAACCTCTTCTAAAAAATCTAAAGTATAAAACAATAAAACGTTACACTTTCCAGTTGACAAAAAAAGAAAGAAAAAAGTTAAAGATAAATAAAATACACAAAATAAATAAAATAAAATAAATTATAGTAACTGCAAATCCCTTTAACTTTAAACTTCAAACATGAGAGCAAAATCTGGTGGAAGAATGAACGTTCAGCTTTAATAATCAACAACTATGACAGTGGTTTTAAACACAACAATAAATATAATGATAGTTTTAATAATAATGACGAAAAAAACAATAACAACAACAGTTATAATAATGTGGTAATGTTGTTATTCGCACAGCATTCACACTTTAGGCTGTTATTCGCACAGCTTTCACACTTCAGGCTGTTATTCGCACAACTTTCATACTTCAGGCTGTTATTCGCACAGCTTTCACACTTCAGGCTGTTATTCGCACAGCTTTCATACTTCAGGCTGTTATTCGAAAAACTATCGCTCGTCAGGCTGTTATTCGCACAGCTTTCACACTTCAGGCTGTTATTCGCACAGCTTTCACACTTCAGGCTGTTATACGCACAACTTTCACACTTCAGGCTTTTATTCGCACAACTTTCACACTTCAGGCTGTTATTCGCACAGCTACCACACTTCAGGCTGTTATTCGCACAACTTTCACACTTCAGGCTTTTATTCGCACAACTTTCACACTTCAGGCTGTTATTCGCACAACTTTCACACTTCAGGCTTTTATTCGCACAACTTTCAAACTTCAGGCTGTTATTCGCACAACTTTCACACTTCAGGCTGTTATTCACAGTTTTCATACTTCAGGCTGTTATTCGCACAACTTTCACACTTCAGGCTGTTATTCACACAGCTTTCATACCTCAGGCTGTTATTCGAACAACTTTCACACTTCAGGCTGTTATTCGCACAGCTTTCAGACTTTAGGCTGTTATTCGCACAACTATCGCACTTTAGGCTGTTATTCGCACAGCTTTCATACTTCAGGCCGTTATTCGCACAGTGCGCTCGCGGTGAACGGTTTCGCCGCACGCTGCACTGTGCCATCAACTGGCAATCGATGAAAAGGTCTATAAAAGTTTAGTTATAAGCATCTTAAAATTACCTATTTTCGAACGTCATGTTCTTTTGAAAATGCCGTTTAATTAACCCATTGCCGCTGGGGAAAATGAACAAAAAATGGGGAGAATACTGTACTCATTTTTTATGTTTTTGTGAAATATCTCTGTCCATAGATGGCTCTGCTAGTCCTGATTTCACCTTTCCTTGAATTGGCGGGAAATAACGTATTGTTACTAGTGCTATAAATATAGATGGTGTTATTTTTAACAGCAAATTAGGATAATGTTAAATGTTTTCGTAAATCGATGAAAAGGGTGAACGGGCGAGACATGCAGTCTCGTAATTGGCTAATTCGTCATCATCATCATTGGGGGACTAACGACGGTAGGGGCGCATAGCCGCGTCCACCCTTCGCTTCCACCTGCGAGGGTCTCTCATGGCGAGCCGCCAGGTAGGGGCCCGGCCCATCTCTAGTTCCTCACGACAGGTTTGATCGATCTGCCCAAGCCACGACCTTCTCGGTCGTCCCACAGGCCTCCTCCACCCAGGGTTGTCTCAAACAGAGACAACCTGATGGGCAGGATCATCCTGCGGGAATCGAGCCAAGTGGCCATATAGCCTGAGTTGGCGATCACGGATTGTGCAAGTAACAGGTCCTGTACCGGTCTCATGGTGTAGCCGTTTGCTGGACACATGGTCCCGCCAACTGTACCCCATGATCCGGCGCTAGGATCTGTTACAAAAGGCATCGAGATGAGATTCCAAAGCAGAAGATGGTGTCCAAGTTTCACTACCATATAGTAAAACTGGCAGTATCAGGGCCTTGAAAACTCGTAGCTTGGTCCTTCTGCACAGGTACCGGCATCTCCAAATACTCTTGTCAAGAGATTTCATGACCCCTGCTGCCAGGCCAATCCGTCTACTGACTTCCTGGTCTGACAGCCTAGAGTCATGAAATGCACTACCGAGGTATATAAAACTCCTTGTGACTTCGATGTTTTCACCGCAAGCACGTACCGACTGCACAGGGTCTCCTAGTAGGCCACCAAAATCCTGGATCTTGGTCTTGGTCCAGGAGACCTCTAGCCCCAGGGGCTTCGCTTCATTGCTAAATGCATCAAGAGCCGCCACTAGGGTTTCCAGAGATTCAGAAAGTATGGCAACATCGTCAGCAAAGTCAAGGTCAGTAACCTTGTTATTGCCCAGAGTTGCTCCACAGCGACTTTGGACAGTAGCTCTACCCAGTATCCAATCCATGCAAGTGTTGAAAAGTGTTGGTGCGAGAACACAGCCTTGCCTCACGCCTGAACTAACAGGAAAGAAGCTCGACAGGCCCCCACCACACTTTACAGCACTTTCAGTGCCTGTATACAGGTTTGCTATTATCCCAACAATCCTTAATGGAATTCCTCTCAGTCTCAGGATCTCCCAGAGTGATTCGCGATGCACCGTATCAAACGCCTTCTTGAGGTCGATGTAGGCTGCGAGCAGCCCACGTCCGAACTCACGACGGCACTCTACAATGACTCGAAGCACCAGGATACGATCTATTGTGGATTTACCAGGAGTGAACCCAGATTGCTCCGGTCTTTGGTGCCTCAGGAGGTGGTCTCTGATACATCTCAGTAAGATGTGGGCGAGTACCTTGCCTGGTACACTGAGCAGTGTAATGCCACGGTGATTGCTGCAGTCCCACCGATCCCCTTTCCCCTTCCAGAGAGGGATGACCACACCCCTCAGCAGGTCGGGGGGAATGGTACCGGTCTGCTAGATGGCAGACAGGACTGCATGCAAGCCCCTTGCCATATGTTCTCCACCAGCCTTTAACAATTCAGCTCGGATGCCACAGACACCTGCTGCTTTACCACTCTTCAGCTTGGAGATCGCCCCCTTGACTTCAGTCAGGGTGGGTGGATCCTCGCTGATGGGTGGGTCTGGCAGAGGAGTCTCAACATTACCAGCATCCAAGTTAACTGTTGGTGAATCAACCTGATACAGCTGCTCAAAATACTCAGCCCAACGCACACGCACCCCATCAGGATCTAAGATTACCTGGCCACTTGCTGAGCAGACTGCCGTCGTCTGTGAGGAGGGCTTGGAGTTCAACTTTCTCAGAGCTTGGTAGGCAGGACAAAGGTCATTTACTAGGAAATGGCTTTCGACCTCCTCTGCAAGATTACTGATAAACTGTTCCTTATCCCTTCTCAACAGTGACCTAGTCCTGCGCGCCAGAGAACGGTGCAAGTTGCGATCCCCTGACAATCGAGCTGCACAACAAGCTTCTGTGGCTTCCAGTGCCTTCGAGTGCTGTGAGACGACCAGAGATAGCCTCAGCAAACCCCCGGGCACACTCATCCTCCCTCAGTCTGTCCAGATGAAACACCCTGGGGTGTTCATTTGGTCGACGGGGGGTTCTAAAGTGGACCCGGAGAGTAGCCACAACTAGTCTATGATCAGTTCCACAGAACTCGGCGCTTCGATACACCCTGCAGTTCTGGAGGATCCTTCACTGAGTGCTGACGAGAATGTGGTCGATCTCCTTGGCCACCCTACCCGTATCACTGTACCAAGTCCAGCGATGCGGGTCAGAACGCTGATACCAGGAGCCTGGGATCCTCAATTTCTGGGACCTAGCAAAGTTACGGAAAAGGAGGCTATTCTCGCTGCCAGCATCAGCTTCTGAGCCATGGGGACTGACAGACATCTCGTAGCCAGCTTGATCACATCCGGATACCGCATTGAAGTCGCCCAGAACAATACGAATATCTCGCCGAGGACAACTGTCTGCCACAGATGCAAGTTTGGTGTAGAACATCTCTCACCTCAAGTTTATATACATCCGTAGAAGCATACACAGCAGTAAGAGACATGAAGCCAAATGACAGCTTCAGTCTCAATACCATGATAAG